CAGACCTGGACCAGAGGATGAGGGGAGAGAAGTCCCAGGGCCCGGCACTGTTCCAGCAGAAGAGTGAGAGTCTTCATCAATCATGCAAGTCTTTTCCCTGACAAAATCGTAGGATAAGAAGAGAGACATGAAAAGACAAAGTGTTAGCATATTGAACATGCATGCAAATTATACAGAAGCAGAAACAATCTTTTTGCGTTATTATCTCCTATATATCATCCAATCTAATGAGCAATGTCATTAAGATGGATTTTTTACTATAAGACATATCATTAAAAAAATAAAATTAAAAAAGTCAAACTCAATCCTTCTCTAAGAGAGTGTTTTTGTACAAACTAATTTTATAGCCTTTAACAAATCAAAGGAAGAGGCCCATGATAACAAACTAAGCTGGACTTTAAAGTAAAAGGGACAAACACCAATTTCAAGTCCACTGCTAATTAATCAAATAGCAGATTCACCAATGGATTAAAAGATAAGTTTGTCCCCTTCTCTTATCTTTCCTTCCTACAATGGGACTATACATTCAAGAGCTCTGAGAAGAGTAAGCAGTCTAGTCATACGATATGTAAGAAGATGCACTCACTTCTCTGAAACTTTTGGGGTGCTCTTCTCCTCACCCCTGGCAAATGGTCCTTCAGAAGCCTCTTTCATGAAACTAACTAGTATCTCTGCATCAACTCCAGAGTCTGGCTTTCCTACAAGCTTCAGGATAGAGGCATGAAGTCGGAAGTAAACCTTGGGAAGGGGATGACCGGAAAAAACAAAACAGAACAGAAGAGAATTCAGAATTCCACAACTAGTTCCAGTGGCCCTGTTCTACAGAAAATTCTGAGCAAAGAAAGACGTTGGCTGGGCACTGTATTTCACCACGACTTTTCTTATCTAAAGTTACCTGTTAATGGCACAAAACTTTAAATAACCCTGGAATCCAAAAGTATGGACAGACAGAAGAGGTCATCTCTGGATGTACATTGGATATAGTCTGCAAAGTGGGAAGCAGCGAGATACTACTCCAACTCTTGGCCTGCGTCTGGCTTGGGAGATGGATTTCACATCTCACTCCCTGTACTTGAATGTCAAAAAGCCCAAGTTGTAAATTGTACGTAGGTAAGGCAAATTGTATGCTTATTTAATAGTGCTACTGTTGGTCTACTATCTATAGAATATTTCAATATATTCTGAAGTCATTATATTTCATTCTTGGTTTCATGCCCTATGTCACTACACTGCTACTGATGATTATTGTTTGACCTAGCTACAGAGAACAGAATTCCAACACAAGAGTTTATTAACTTACAAATACCATTTTTAGTTTAAGTATGCATGTGTGTCAACATTTTCAGTTACACTAAAAACATGGTAGCAACTGTTAATTTCTAGTTTATCTCAATTAACTGACATGCCATCAAGTCTTCCTGGTGCATTTTGCTTTCCCATTTTACCTCTAATGCCTCCATGGCAAGTTCAGGTGGATTATGATAGTGAATCTTCTTTGGGTACCTGGCTGCTTCCTCATGCAAGTAATGACCTGCCTGTTTATAATGAAACAGGTAGACAACAGGAGGTTGCTTCTGTTTCTCTGCAATCTTTCCCAGCATGTAGTGTATAAGCCACTCCTCTTCATCTCCATCTCCCTCACAACGAGATGCTGAAGTAAAGCACTGTTTGGCTGTCTCCAGCATGCTGTCTCGACGCTCTTCCATCTGCAAGGAGACAAAATGCCAAGAATACATGAAATAGCCTTTGCCTGGGATGAATAATGGTACCTTTTATTTTGTTGCATGTGGATGTTCACAAAGGTAGCACTGTCAGTTAAAAATCCTTTGGACTATTAGATTTAAAATGGAAAATACTGTAATACAGTAATCTTGCATACAATGCAGCCTGGAATATAATGCACATCTTGTTTTTGAAAGGCTGAATAAAGGGAAAAATGATCTCTCCTTGTAGTAAGAGTGCTGTTACATGTTACAATTTGCACATGCTAATTCTATGGAATGTAAGGTGGTATTAAAGTTCACACATGCTGGGAGCAGTCTCTTGTTAAGGATTAACAACCTCTCATATACACAGCTCTGACTTGAGCTATAACACAAGCTACCTAACACCAGCTGGAGATAATCCTCACCTGAAGAGGCATAACTTTGAGATGCTCAGAGAGCACTTAGATCGTCTTTTTCTATCTTAGTGGGCAGATGTTTCCATCTTAAGAGAATGTAACACATGGAAAAGGTAATATCTAACAACACCCTAACTGAGTAGCAGCAGCTAGGGAACCAAGTCTGCTCATTGTTCTGTGTGCAGGCACTTTTGATTTCACCTGACAGAAGCTTAAGAGCAGAAACAAAGCTTATAAAGCATACCCCAATTGCCAGTGGCTGTTTTTTTGTGGGGGGAGGTATGTGGCATAAGCAAGAAAATATAGTTGCTGGTCTGAATCTGACTTTGACACACACATACAAAGCAACAGTGAGCTGCATAAACATTACTTTCTCTCTGAAAACAATATTTATAAAATATTAGGTAAGGACAGAATCATAAATATTGTTTATGAAAGTCCAACCTATTTTAGTAGTAGGCAACCGTCAATCTTTCTGGATCATGGTGTATGCATAAGAGGTCACCATCACTTTTGATCCATATGTTTAGGCAGGAGTACAGAGGGAGTGGAGGCTGCTCAGACCTTCCACTCCCTTATTCATTTAAAGAGAATCCCTTTGATCAAGACAGATGACAGATTTTTCACTGCAAACGTAAGAGGATGTATTTATGAAAGGACGACTCATTCAGTTTTAAACTTACCTCTTCTTCCAGTGAAAGCTTATTCTTCTCACATGTATATGCCTTTATAATATACACATTAAAAACCCTCAAAAAAACTAAAATAGTCTTAAATAAAATTCTATACTACATCATAACTCTATAAAAATGGTAATAAAAGTACTACCAATTTAGTTGCTTAATACGCACTTCATAATAATTACCAGTCGGCAGCATGTTTTTCCTGAGAGGATGAGCATGGACTGTAATAACTTCAGGTTTTTTTTGCAATTAATTCTGGAACTCGTGCATAAATTACCAAGTAACCTTTAGAGATTTAATACATACACTAGCACATGGCATTCACCGAGTAGACAGCAAGATAACAACAAGCAGGATAACAAATATTATCAAATCTTTTCTCTGGGAGTATGTTAATATTTAACTGAATTTCACCTTTTTCTGAAAAATATGCAGCGGCCTAATAATGGAGAAAAATATACATGCTGTAGATATATGTATTTCATTATAAAAGTATCAATATGAAGTTTTCCTTCCATTGGTTCTGACAGTTTTGGGCAATCTTTTAATGCACAGTCTAAGTAGGCTCAGAACTCAGACTAAGAATTTAATTTTGAAGAGGAACTAACATTTCATATGCTATTTGCACTGGCAGTTTATAAGATAATTTCAGGTTTAATGCTGATTTCCAAAATTACTGGCCCACACTGCAATGTAATTATAAGGTTACAATAATCAGGAATCTTACAAGGTTCAAATAAGCATGTAAAAATTCATATGGCTTTACTTTAGATCCTACCTGCTGCACAACCTCAGGGGGAAGTTCTGACTTCCACTGCTTAAGCTGTCGAGATGCAAAAGAATGAAGGGCATAGGACATGGTGCCATATTCTATCCAGAGCGAGAGATTGGAGCAGTCAATCTCCAGAGCTCTTTTGAAGCAGTTGAGGACAGGGGTAGAGTGCTTCCAAATGGGCCCATCACTCTTCAGCTCATTGGAGTTCAGCTTGTCCTGAATTCGACTTGCTCTAGCTAGAGCCATTCCAGCCCAAGAATCAAACCTATGCAAACAAGAACGCCACAGTGAATAACTGACCCATTAAGGATCTTGCCCCCTGCGGTGAGGGAGGGGGCAGAGGCAGGCCAGGGGGAATGGAGTCGCAGCTCATGGAGGGTAGGGAGAGGTGGCTCCTGCTGCTGCTTGCACCCCAGGAGGGCATGGGGGGGGGTGCCCCCTGGATCTGTACAAGGTGCGCTGCAGCCAGGGCTGTGCGGGGCTCTTCTTGGCAGGGGCTGGGCTCAGAGTGGGTGCTGGCAGCCCTGGGACGATGCTGCATCCACCCCAAATTTCATTGCTACTTCGTACCCAGCGCTGCTGCTGCCAGCCACCTGGTGCAGCCATGGCTCTTCCCACTGCGTGGGTGAAGGCAGGGTGTTGAACCAGGGCTGTGCTGGACAGTTGGCGGTGGCGGCACTGGGAGTGGAGTGGCAGCAAAATTTGGGGTGGATGAAGCATCCTCCCAGCACCACTGGTGCCCACTCTGAGCCAAACCGCTGCCTAGAGCCCCATGCAGCCCCAGCTGCAGCCCACACTGCCCCACCCTACGTAGATCTGGGGGGCACACACCCTATGACCTCCTGAGATGCAAGCAGCGGCGGGAGCCTCCCCGCCCCACAAACCGCAGCTCCGAGCCCCCTCCCACCTCCCCCCTCA